ATATTAATATTTAAACAAATTTCAATAAAGTAATCGTTTTATTAATAAATATATATTAGATAAATTTTATAAATTTATTAATAATTATTAAAACTATATTATATATATACTTGTTCAATTTGAATAGAAATAGATTTGTAATAAAGTTTATAGTTATCTCTTTTCAAGATTTATAAAGAATAAGAAAAATCTATAACTCACTATAAGGCTTATACTTTTTAATAGCAATATATTAGTATATTGTATATATTTTAATATACATTTTTATATCCTTTCTTATTGAAGATCAGAAATATTTAGATCTCAAGATTTCTAAAGTTTTAGAAATACTCTAATATCTATCTATAAAATTATTATAATGGGTTTCCAAAATCTCTATTTTCAAAGTAGAATCTAGCAATATATAGATATTCTCATTATATTTAAAAAGCCTATTAATATTTATTTATTAAGGTAAGATAACTTTAGCGAAATATAGTTTTTAATTCAAATACTCTTTATTTTTTATAAAATCATTATCTATTTGGAAATGCAATAAAGCATTTCTTATTATCTCTAATACTAGCTCGAATACTATTTTGTTTTTTGTTAAAACATAAGCTATTCGATATAATATTGACTATTTGTAACTAATTTCAATTAGTGAATATTTGAGTTTACAGAATAGTAGGCTATATTCTTCTCTTTGTAAGAGATCTATAATGTTATATAGAGATTTTATTTTTTTGATAAAGAAATTTTGAAATAGATTTATAATTATTAATCTATTTTTTAGTTTATTTTGAAGGATCGAAAGTATATCATTTATATTATCCATATCGATAATGTAATCGGGGTAGTGCGATGGCTTATTTGTGGAATTCAATCTTTTAGTTTTATATATTATCTCGAAATCATATAGTCAAAACCTCTGCTTACCTTGTTTGTTGGTTATTCAGACTTTTCTTTGTTATAAAATGCTGAAAGCTGTTGTAGTCCGATTTGATTACGATAGTATATCGATTCTCTATTGTATAGTGATATTATTATATAAAAGTGGTATATATTGCTAGTAATTCTTGATTATAAATAAAATATTATTACTTTGCTAAAATTAGCTTTCTCAAATAGAATATAATGAAATATTATTGTTAGATTAATATCTCTTTGATTTCTTTTAAGAAAAGCTGTAATAATATATAATCCAAAGCAAAAATCGAAATATTGATTTTGATTATCATATAGAATAAAAAATTGAAATATTAGAAAATAAATATTAATATAAAGATTTTCTTTAATACTTTAAATATTTTTTATATTTTATTAATCTATTTGAATTTAATTATTATCTCTCCTTTCTTTATTCTCTTCATCAATATGATCATACTATGAGCTACCGCTGAATAGGCTTTGATAAACTATCAATAAAAGTTTGCGAAACCTAAAAATATCTATATATCCCTAAGACTATTGGGTATTAGCCATTCCACTATAATTTAAATATAGCCTGATTCTATAATAATATTTGCAAGCGAAATAATATATCCTAGGAATTCTATCTTATTGATATAAAAGATACATTTCTTTAACTTTGTATAAAACTTATATTTAATAAATTATACAAAAACCTTTCGAATATCTATTATATATATAACTCTATTTCTTAAGTAGATTAGAATATCATTAAGATATACCATATAGATATTATTTATCAAGCTAAATAAGGCTTGATTGATATATATCTGAAATATTGTAAAGACATTAATAAGATCGAAAGGCATTACCCTATACTTGTATTGGCCATATTGTATATGAAATATAGTTTTCCATTTATTCCCCGCTCTTATATGGATTCAATAATAAGTGTTTTATAAGTTTAATTTAATGAATATAATATCTTATTAAAATCGGTTTAAGGATTTATTGATAAAAGATAAAGAGATTCAATCCTTTTTGGTGATCTGGTTAAGCCCTCGATAATCAATATATAATCAATAATCTTCTCTTTTCTTTGAAATGAATATAATAAATGCTTTTATTGAGCTGATAGATCTTTTTATTTATTCTTTTTTTTAATACTTATCTAAATATTTTTATAATATTATTAACTCTTTTTTTAATAAAAAATAAATCAGATCTTAAAAAAAGATCAAATTGAATTCGAGATTAATACAATATTCTATCAGATAGTATTCGGATAAAAGGCTACTTTTGTTTTCCAAAAAAGCCTTTTTATATTTCTGAAATTCTTTTAGTATTTTATATAAGATTAATATGAATATTAAATAATTCCCTTTTATTTTTAATTATAAGATTATTTTATTTAAAAAGATTGTGAAGACTATTTTACCTTCCTTTATTTCCTAATAAAATTCTTTTACAGAAATAATCTCGAGATTACTTAAGATAAAGTAATATTAGAGTAATATCAACTTCTAATTAATATCAAAATTGACTATTTGTAATTACAAAAGATTTAGGATAATATCTATCCGTAATAGATTCAGTATTACTGATATAAAACTATAAATATAGATTCTCTTTTTCCCTTTTTTATTTTTTATTTTAATAAAGAATTTATGATTTTTATATAATACAATTACAATATTATTTGCCAATATAAAGGGAATACTTTTTTTGATAAAAATCCAATCCTATTCAATATACTTACTTTACTGTATAATATTAGTTTATGTTCCCAAATTGATAAGGTATCGAAGTATTATTGGCTTATTATTGTTATTAAAGATTACTATAATTATAAAGATTATTTGCCTTTCTTTGTATAGATTTAGTGTTAATAGGATACTTATTATAATTACTAAATCTAAGCGTTTCTTGTACAAGTAGTTTTAAAGGGTTTATTTTAATATTTGTTTTCTTTATACCTTTCTTTATAATATCTATACACAAAGTTGTTTTAATAGTTCGAAGTGATGTATTCTTTTTATTAGCATTTATAGTATATAGCGGTTCGTATACACTTTATATATGATATGTTGACAGAATATTGTGATATTTTAAAGGATTCCTTTCAAAAGAATTGATTAAATTCTTAAACCTCTGTTTTAGTAATTAGAATTAGATTGTTTTTTAGATAAAAATGTTTAGATAGATTTCGATATTGAGGGGGTGATTGGTTATATTTGCAAAAATAATATAATCCCTTTATATCTTTTTCTTGAAATAATTTCTTTATACTTTTTAATCTATAGGCTTATCTTATAAGTTTATTATGTGACTTAGGTTATTATAAGGATTCCGATATTTTTCTAGTTATACTAGATAATAGATCTGCTAAAAGCCTCTCGACCTGAATATTCTTTGTTTTCTGTTTAATATTTTCTTTAAGGTCTTTTAAATAAATTACAAATATATTTACAATATCTCCTTCTCTCTACTTCATTTGTATAAACTTTTGAATTGCTTATTACTATCTAATTCCTTTATTTATAATAATATTATATATATATTTCTTAAAGTTTTCCTAATTTATTTCTTTGTAATTTGATTTGTTTATAAACCAATATCAAATCACTAAGAATTACCTTTCGAAATATTGAATAATATATTCTATTTTCTTTGTATCGATAGGAAAATGATATCCACTATCACTTCGAAATATAATTTCTATTTAAAAAAAGAAATTCTTAACTTCTCCAATATTCTTTCCTTCGTATTATTTCAATTTCTATAACTTTAATAATTTTTCTTAATCAAGATTAATATTCTAATAAATTACATTCAATATAATTATAAATCGATTATACTCGACCAGAATAATTATATACAAAATATAATCTATAATTATTTTATAAACTTCTCTTATAACTACCATTTCTTTTTTCATTTTTTAAAGTTATTAATTCAATAATATATTCTTATTATTACTAAAAGAATATAATTAAATCAAATAAACATTACTATCAATACTCTACAGAAATTGATTAACAATTTCACCGGATTAATTTTGAATCGCATTATAGATATCCTGCTTTTCTCTAAGAATAAATGTTTTTTTTATTGAAATTATAATAATACTAATATCTACTCAACTAGAAAATAGTTAACAGATTACTTTATATAAAGAATAAAAAGAATTATTAAAATAAATAATAACAATAAATCAATTAAATATAATATAATATAAAGACTTTTTATTAATTCTTCTAAACTATAAAAATTCTATAATTTATAATTATACGCGGATTGGCATCAGCCCGAAATAGCCCCGCAGGAGCTACTCACGTGCCCTCGCCAGCCCTTACACAGATTAACCGTAATATTACTTGGTTTCGATATCAACATCAATATCAACATCAATATCAACATCAATATCAACATCAATATCAACATCAATATCAACATCAATATCAACATCAATATCAACATCACAATACACTATACATTCAAAACTCCACAAACTTTCACTCCATTCAATTGAATATTTAAATGCTCGCTGCTTAGGTATTCATTCACACACACTAAATAAGAACTTAGTCGTCGCTATCATCATCTCTTTTATTTTCTCCCTCTCCTCCTCTCCTCCCTCATCCCCATTCCCATCTCCATCCCCCGTAACTAAAAAATCAATTGGTAAATAATTTCCTCCAACAAATGAAATTTCCATGGTATGTCCGTCATGCAGCCCAAAATGTTTGAAAGAAAAAAAATAACAAGGGGTGATAAAGAAGAAGCGCCATAATGATAACGCCCAGTGCCTCCCTAATATTCTTATCCCCGATAGAATGTTTACGAAAAGGTAAGAAGAATGGTATTGTTAAAGAAAAAGGTGTTGATCTGCATCAAAATGAGTGTGGTTTTGGCTGCCAAAAAGTGTACCAGCAACTATTACCAACCCCTACAGAAGAATTGTCTGTACATCCGAAGCAGATTAAGAAAGTGTAAGCGCAAAAAAAGTAGCGATAGAACATTTCGTTCAGAGAATAGACGAGTTGTTTGTTCTCTATTGCCAGTGCAGTACCAGATACATGTAGATGTAAAAGTTATGATCAATAATACTATTGATATTCGACGTAAATAATAAGCTTGTCGTTCCGTTGTAGAGCAACGTCTAGATCATTGTCGCTCATAAGGTTGGGCTTTTCTCCGCTGGGCTCGTCCTTGTAGTATAGTGCAATTTCATCCCCTTGTGGAATCTTCAAGCGATCACTGATTTTCTCATAAAGCTGCTGGAACTGAATATCGGTAGGTACTCGAATGGCAATCAGGTCATCACCAAAATAGATCTTGACCTTCATAGCGGATGGAGATGGTTGTTGCCCACTGACATTATTGGCTGGAGATAATAATGAGTTGCTGGATGGTTGAGAGAGAGATGAGGTCTGACGTGTTGGACCTTGACCATTATTAACTGATAACGATGATTGTCCTCTTTGATGACCTGGGGCGGCTGTTAAGCCAGTAGGTGCCCCGCTCGAATAGTTTTCACCGCTCAAATCGCCCCTCGAAGATTGCCTGGATGCTGCTTGTGTTCTTGAATCGTTTGATGACTGTTGTGAACCACCCGATAGACGATATTCTTCTTCAACTGCGTTTGGATCCATCTCATAATCCCCTTCTCGAGGCGCAAAGAACTGCTTAACAAGAGTGCATCTGGAGATATATGGTGGTTGGGTCAAGAGGCTCTTGACATAGGCATCAAGATTATGTTGTCTTCCTTCGGTAATCGCGTCTGTCACATAGTTGACAGGTCCTGGCATATATGGCAAGCTTCTTTTCTGCGTACCAGTGTTTCCCGCCTCCGCTGGGAACTCTGTCAAGAGAGCAATCTGAAAATCGTAAAAGTCTTCGTAATATCTCGAAAGTTCCCAATGTCTCCCATCTTCCAGAGCAGCCTCGATCACGAACCAGTATTTATCTTCCGCGAAACAGTATCGTGGTATCCGCGCTGATATTGGAGCGTATAATTGGGACGTCGATTTGGATGGCACAGAATATGGGTTTTGCGGAACTTGTTGGACGGGTTGAGCCGCCGCTCTTGCTTGTTGTGATTGCCGTTGGTCCTGATATTGTGTTAGCTTTGGATTTCCCACTTCGCGTCTCAGTACATACATAGCTTTGACCATTCTGCTGACTCTGCCTTGAGTTCTGTTGTTGCAGACTCATTCTTTCCATGCCATTCTGGATTTGTTGTTGTTGCTGTTGTTGTGAAGAGCCATTGGGAACTTCGAATTTGCCCAAGGTAATACTGCTGTTCTTGTAATCGGCGGCCATTCGCTTCCATTCTTCCACTTTTGGCACACCCGCCCTCTGAACTGCCTCTTGCGCATTTGGCACCGCTTTTCCAGTGCCCATATCGCGTATCTCGATGAAATCAACTGGTATTAGTCCTGGGCCCCCAAGTCGCCCGATGGGTTTCGCGACAAACCATTCTGGATTCGATTGAGCAATCACGATGATTGCTTCTCCCGCCTTGGCTTCCAATTCATCGGGCCTTTCCGCCGCAAAATCGTACATAACCACTCCGTAAACCATCGCGCCGGTGCCTTTCATTGTCTTTGAAAATCTCTGACCTCCACCGCTATCTGGTGGACTCGCCAGTGTCCCTGAACCGGACATGTCGGAATAACCCGAATCATGATCCACCTTCATACCCATAGGCGACTTATCTGATAGAGATTGACCACTATCCCGCTCAGTCTTTCCTAACGCTTGAAAGTATGCAACAGGTACCAAACCCCTCGCATCTGGCACTGCAGGATTACATGCTTCATACCAATCCGTATCGTTTTCTCGTCCTATAACATGAAAGAAGTCGCCCCTCGTAAAACCCAATTCTTGATTTGATGTTGCCTCATAATCGTACAATGCGCGAATAACCTATAATAATTGCAGATCGTTAGGAAATGCGAAATTGATGCAGTTTGCGACTCATGCACACGAAATTCGGCATACCTTTTTGGGAGGGACAATTGCGACGGCAGATTTGGGCGTGAGAGAAATATGTTGAACTTTTGAATCGGGCTTTTCGCCTTTGATCGACCTACGAAGAGCCTGATAGACAAACATAATATGTTAGCGACGACTCCTCCCAACGAGGATTGTGAAAATCCTCAGATGAAGTAAGAAACTGGTTGGGTGGTTACTGACCTTCATTATTCAGATTGCTTTATCGTTATGTCGTACTCCTCGAGAATGCAAGCCAGGTAGGTGAGTAGGTGGGTGGGTAGGTAGGTAGGTAGGTAGGTAGGTAGGTAGGTAGATAGGTAGGTAAATGAATGAATGAATGAATGGACAATAGAAGGAAGAGAAAGTAAGAAAAGCTTTCGAATTTTGGAATTGTTGATATCGAGGGCAGTAGTTATGATTGTCGACCAGAATTGGTGTCAATAATATTATGGCTAGGTATCGATTGCTCTTGCTTCTTCTTCAACTTCTTCCTCTGCTTCTTCTGCTTCTGCTTCTGCTTCTGCTTCCTCTGCTTGTTTTCTTGAATACCTTTCCGTGACTTTTCCCGTTCCTTTTCCTTTTCCTTTTCCTTTTCTCAATGCAACCCTTCCAACTTTCTTTATGGCGGCGATAAAACCCCAAGCGCTACTCCGAGTCCACTACTGTACACTACGAAATAGCTAGCCTCGAGCTAGCATCCAAGAAGGGGGGACTGATAAGGTGGGGTGATTAAGAAGATGTGAATCCTGCCACGGAAAAAAAAGATGATGGAATGATGGGTTATGGTTCTGTTATATGTAGTGTGATGTGGGATTGAGAGGATAGATGGGGTGATGGGAAGAAGAAAAAATCCTATATCTTGCGCGCGTCGTATGTATGTGATGATATGAGCAAAAGTTGGTGGGAAGTGTGTCTGAACAGAATGGGATGAAGGCTGCGCCGGCTTTCTTGCTTGCCTGCTTGCTTGCTTGCTTGCTTGCAATAAACGAGGGAGGGGTGGTATAAAAGAGGAATAAGCTAGATGCCAAACGAGGTATATTTCTTCTTTTTTTGAGGAAATGATTTTCGAGGATCCGGTCGCAACGGGTTGAGAGAATCTTTTGAAGAGGATATCAACGGTAAACGGGAATGGAGGGTTTCTACTCGTGAATCATATCGTAGCTAGGATCGAGTTCAATATATTTTGAGTATCGAGATTTGATAATGCATTGAGCATCAGAGGATCGATATCGATCTTGTTGTAAGTGGCGGACTTTAATTTGGACCAACAAAAGACGATTTTGGCCCAGAAGCTCGAGATTTTGAAAGGTAGAGTAGATGATCAGGACAATAATACTAATAGTAATGGTTCGTTACGGTTCTACGACCTTTTCTTTGTTGGATCAAAGGATATCTAGCATCTATCTTTGGGTGAGAGAGGAGAGGGCAAGGGAATACTTCCACAAAAGGATTTGAGGATGCTTGGCTTGCAGTGAGGAAAGGAGAGTGCATGATGATAGTAAATGATAATTCCTTTAATAGGATGGGATTTGTGATATGTGTGTAGTATATGTGTACTAGGTATGTATATGTGTGTGTGTGTGTATACTCCAATACCTTTCTCTATTAGATATTGAATATATCGACGACAATATTGACAACAACATCGACGACAATGTCTTTACTCTTCTCATTTACTAGGTAGTTAACAAGAGATATCAGTCATTTCGATGTGAGTACTAGATATGTTTGGTAGATAAAGTGTCAGAAGAGTATGTAATGAACGATATCATTTCATCACCCTACCTACCTAGTACCTGGTATTTAGACTTAATACCCAGAATATCGGGACCGATAAAATCTAGAATTCTCTTAACTTTGTCTCTCTCTCTCTCTCTCTCTCTCTCTCTCTCTCTCTCTCTCTCTCTCTCTCTCTCTCTCTCTCTCTCTCTCTTGATTTCCTTCGTATCCATCTCCTACCCATCTCCTACCCATAACAAAGATCACTCCTTCAAATTACTCAATCCTTCTAGACTCTCTCCTTCCCTTCTGTCCAGTGTCCATCTTCATTTGGGGATGCTGGGAGGATATCCACAATTACCGTTACTAGAGGTTTGATATACACTCTCCTAAGTCAGGCTAACTGCCACTAGGAACGTTTCTTTAATTTAGATGCCGCTTTTTTGGCTGCGTCGTTTGGGATTCTGGAATGAATGGAAGATGGGAAGATGAATGATTAGGTGAATGAATGATGGGAGATTTTTTACACTTTTTACACTGTGTACACTCTTCCTTATATAAAAAGACTTTAAGACTTTGATATCACTCGAATCATTGAATTTCATTTGGGTAGTAAGAATTCTTTGTAGAGTAAGAAGTAGTAGATAGAGTAAGACTGTACAATCAATCAAATGAACCCTCCCCAAGGTTTATTTACACATGTCATGAATGAAGTCTTTCCATCTGTCAATAATTACCTTCCCGAGATGATGAGTAAAAGTATAATCATGAGTATCCGCCAATATTACCTACTACATACAATACATACAATACATTCCATTCCCAGCTCAAGAAACCCTTACTGCATCTCTACTGCATCTCTACTCCATCCATCCATTCATGTCTTCTTCTATCGTATTAATGATTAACCAAATTTCTTATCGATATCGATAACTCAATCACTCGTCACTCCTCCCTCGTCACGCGTCATTCCTTACTCATACCTCGTGCTTTGCCTCGTGCTTGGCCTCGTGCTTTGCGACTTCTCCAGGTTGACACGGACAGCTGGAGACACAGACACGGACAATTCGATTTAGAAGTTAATAAGAAGTCTCCATTTGGTGTTTCCAGGTTATTAATAAATTACAAAGTACATACCCATCATACATCATACATTATATCATACCTAAATACATCATATACAATACATAAAAAATCACACTTCAATTTTATACGAATACAATCCGATGAAATTTCTAAACATCAAATCAAATCAAACCCGATCAGTTCCCAATCCTCCATCCATCCATCCATCCATCCATCATCCATCATCCACCACACACCACACACCCATTCTTCTCTCCCCTTCCCTTCCCTCCCTCTCATTCGCTCTCCACAACAAATACCTACCTACCCATAGACCCATCATCCTTGAAATTCCTGCATGCATCAGGCTGAGAACATGCATACTACGATAGGTACGTACCTCGTACATTTACAATTTTCTCCTATCGTACACCAATTGATCAATATAAATATTGGCACTCCGTATCGTACATAACAACCTAAGCCCAACCCAACTTACCAATTACCCAGGGGGGGCTTCGGAAGCAAGTGAGAGTCCTCCGTATTCCATCCATCATTTTATGAGTACATAGGTATTCCTTTCCCAAAACCCCTCAAAAACCCCCCAGGAAAAAAAAAAAGAAAAAAAAAGAAAAAATAGAAAGCATAATCCATCTCAAATTAAACCTTTTCATCAATTATACTTTGACATCCCTATCTTCTCTTGCCAGAGTCGTCGTCATCGTGATCTACATCGTCGATACCATATTGTATAGTACTGGGAAAATGGAATGTAGTGAGGGGTACTAGGTATCTATAATAATGATGATGGAGAAATTGAGAAATTGAGTCGTAGTGTTGGTCTTGGGTTTTGTACTCTGTAAGATTATTTAATGATTGATATTTCAGTTCGAGTTGTTCGTTTTATATATAATAAATAGTACTGGTAGGTATGTAAAGTAGACTCGATAGATACTTGCTTATGAGATGGGTATATCTATCTAGTATTATCATAACTACATCTTATCTCTCTCTGTCTATTCTACCTTATTAATGTTATATATCCAAGATACTTCTTCATACATATATACGTACTCTACACCTCTCCTACCTAACAATCCAATTCCAATCCCATTCCAATCCCATTCCTCCCATTCCTCCCATTCCTCCCATTCCTCCCATTCCTCCCATTCCTCCCATTCCATTCCAACCCAACCACACACCCACAAACCCACACAATTCACCCACACACACAAATCCTCTCCCCCCCCAAACCCATCCAAAACTACCCACCCACACACATACACCCCCCCCCCCCCCAAAGCACCTGGGACCTGCATCACCACTCCTCACTCCTTACTCCTCACTCCTCATCAACATGTATATGTATATGTATATGTATGTCTCAAACACCCCTCCTCTTCCAATCACAATCACAATCACAATCCCTCTTCCATACTCTCCCCACTCTCTCAATGGCGCCACGCTTGATTCACGAGATAGCTGGAAAGTGGAAAGGAAAGTGGAAGGAAAGTGGAATCTTATTATCTGTTAGAACTTAGAATACTCGTGGAAGTACGTCGTGCCGGTATAGTATTTAGTATTTAGTAAATGCCCCATCATTTCAGGGCTGAGTGGGATGTTATTTGATGGTTTATTTGGATGTGTTTTGGTGTGGTTGTTTGGTTTGAGTGTATTTGTTTGTTTGGGTTTCATTCCTTTCGAATATATTATAATATTCATCTATCTATTTATTCATCGATCGATTATATCATATATATATATATCCCCTCATTCTCTTAATCTCACTATAATATCCATCTCAAAATACAACATTTTGACCCCCAATCCTCAATTCCTCATCTCAAAAAAGTAATCTCAATCCTAATCCCAATCCTAATTCCTTTAATCTCAATTTAAATTCCTCTATTCTTCTAAACCCCTCTACTCTCGTCTTTATACATACTATCAGATAAATAATCTTATAATATTATCGTAAAGTAAATCCACCTCCTCTATTACGTCTTAAATATACGAAGTAGATATTAGTATAGTAATACTATCTTTTTACTACGTCTAGATTTTACAGAGAGAGTAATTAATATATAAATTATTTCTTCTATATTTTATTAGACTTTTACTTTGTATGATACGGTGTAAGTATAAAAGAGAGACGAAGTTCTTATTTGTACCAGCTAAGACTATTTATACCTAGGTGCGCTAGTGTTTAGCGTACTATTGTATTTGTTTTATTTTCTAGTTTAATATATTATACTATACTTCTAGATTGAGATTAAGATTGAGATTAAAAGTATTTTATATATATAGATATATCTAATATATAAATTATATCAAAAAAATAAGAAAAAAGATATTTCAGAAATAACTTCTTATTTATATAAGAACCCTCCTGATATACATAATATATATATCCTCAAAAATCC